CCCCCCCGCGCGCTCTCACCCGTCTGGCTGCCGCTCTCCGTCGGCTGCGCCGCCTGGCTGGAGTAGTGCAGGCTGCGCTGCTCGCCCTCCTTCACCGCCGCCTCCTCGTGCGGCTCGCTGGCGGCGGGGCCGCCTGCACCCACAATTGCGTCCAGGCCCACGGCCTCGGCGCCGGCTACAAAGGCGGCAAACACGTCCGCCGGGTGCAGCACAAACTCGACGTATTTGATGCCACCTGCAGCCTCGCGCACCGCCTTGAGCGCGACCTGTGGGGGGTGCAGCAGGCGTGGACGATCAGGGCGGGGTCATGGCGTCATGTGAAAGCAAGCGCAGCCAATTCACTAGTGGGACAGAGCCACGATCGCTAAACCGCACCCGCCCGTGTGCTGGCTAGCCCCACGGCCCCGCCCCAGGCCTGTGTGCCCCTAACCCAACCCCAACAACCCAGTCACCTCAGCGGCCGCCTGCTTGGGGTAGCCGTAGATGCCGGTGCTGATGGCAGGGAAGGCCACGTTCTCCAGCCGGTGCTTGTTGGCAAGCTGCAGGGAGCTCCTGCAAGAAAGCGGAGGGGCTGGTTGAGCCAAGGTGCACCATGTGGAGCGAGGTCACCGCGATGACGGCCGCCTGCAGGAGGCTGCCCCCAAAAAGTGACGGCAACGGCCATGGGCGTGGCACGGCTGCAGCTTTAGGCAGCCGCGGACCCTTGCAGCCTGCATGCTTTCAGTCTACCAGGCCGGGGCAGGCCTAAATGTGCCCGCACTTGTACGCGGACGCCAGGGATGGCGCGGACTCTTCATCACTCTCGTAGCGCGGCCCCACTGTGTGGATGACGTACTTGGCCTGCAGACGGCCACCCCTGAGGTGGCAGGGGCAAGGGGCACCAAGAGGGGAGCTGGGTGGCACGCCAACTCGCTCGAGAGACGGCTGCAGCTGGTTTTGACGGGCACACACGTGCGAATCATTGACGCCGTGCTCCTCGTGGACTTCGCCAGCTCTGTCGGCAACAAGGCTGTGTGCGCACTGCCTCAGCTTGCTCGGAAGCCCCTGACCCATCCGTCACCACGCCTGCATACTGCAAAGCACCGACCTGCAACCATGCCTTACCCCCACACACACAATCAAAAGCCCCGTGCTGCGCATCCCCTAACCTGGTGATACGCGCCTCCCCCACGGGACAGCGCACGCCGGGGGAGACCTCCGGCACCTGCTCGCACGCCTCCATCAGGCGCGGGCCCGCTGCTCTGTGGATGGCTGTGCGCCAAAACACGCCGCACGTGGTGTGCAATGTCCAACAGGGCGCGCCCACCGGTCGAAAAGGGGGTGAAGGGGGTGTCAAATGTAATCGCGGCGGTACGGTCTCACGGCAACCAGCTGCAAGGCACAGCCACGCCGCTTTGCCAGGGGTGGTGCCCAGCCAGGGGTCCACCGCGCCATGACCCACCTCCATCGACACCGCCGCCGCCCAGCATGCGCTCGTTGGCTGCAGATAGCAGAAATATTGCCACGTCAGCCGTGGTCAGCAAAGCTCAGCTTGGGTTTCTTTGGCAGAGAGGCCATGATGGCGCCCGAGAGGTTTGCATCGAGGGGGTCGAACAGACATTGGCTCAACCCCATTGCAGGACTGCGTGCAGCATCGCTGCATGAACGGCGGCAAATCGCACACTCCACCATGCGCACCCGCATTGACGATGGCGTCGCCGCTCCAGGAGGTGATGTCACCCTCTGACAGCACCAGCAGCCCTTCGTTGGGGAGCTTGTACCACTTGGCGTTGGCCGACGGCATCCTGCCGCTGCCGCTGCTGGTGGATTTGGTCGCCGCCGCGCGGCTGGAGGGCCGGTATACGCAGGAGTGGGGGGCGACTTGACCGTTGTCAGCGAGCCTGGGGAGTACAAAGCAAGGCCGCACGGTCAGGACGCACCAGGCGGCCACTACACTGCGCAGCGAGAAAGTGCACGCTGCGCGTTGGCGCGCCCTCTGCAGCGGCCGAGGATCGGGCACTCACGCTCTGATCGAGTTTGAGGTCGCTCCGAAAGCGTAGCAAGAGCGCGATATCAGAGCAGCGATCATGCACAGCAGGGGGACGAGCAGCTGGCCTTTTTGATAGGATCTGAGCGCGTGATCTCTGATGACGTTCCGGCGCATGAATATTTTTGATGCGTCGTAGCCGTATTCCAAAACTTTTTCAACCCGTGAGGATACAGGCCGCCAAGATGCAACGCGTCCACTGCCACAGCAAAGCCGCAGCAGTATGTCAAACTACTCGTATCCCAGGAATCCCCGCATATTTTGGGAAATTATGGGGTGTGCATATGGCCGCGGCAGCCGTGTCGACGACGCCGCAACTCCAATGCCGTGCACCACTCTGCTTGGGTGCGGGGGGCGTGGATGCTGCCACTGGCGACTTGAGAGTGCAGCCGCTTGAGGCCTTGGATGTGGAACACGCTGTGGAAACGATTGAACTGTTGAATTCTGGGAAGGGGGAGGCCATGAAGGGGGAGAAGGAGGAGGAAGCAGAGGTGGAGCTTGTCGCCCCTGCGGTGCGCCTGCAGCCGCCATTGGCCGCAAAAGACCGCACCCAGCGGCGCACTGAGTCAGAACAGCTGGCGCGGGACCGCAATCTGGTGCAAGTGCAGGTGCGGCTGATCTGGGGCCGTGGCGGCGCGTGGGAGGTGTGACGCCCTGGCCAGCACGCGGGGGCCCTGGAGGTCACCGACGAGGCTTAGTCATCGTCCGGCGACGGGCAATACGGCCGCGCGAGCCCTCATACATATCGCTGTGTGTGACGCGTCCTGTATTGCATGCATGAGACAGAGCTGCAAGATGTGTCTGTGAGCAAATCGAGCTCGGGGGTACGGCCCACTCGATGACGACATGCCACCAAGTTCGTCAGCGCCTTGGTCAACACCCCCGCGACAGATCGGCGCTGCCGGCATGACCCCTGCCGTGCTGTCTTCCATCATGGACGTGTTGGTCAAGCGGAGCTTCGTGCGGCTGCGCTGCGGCGTGGGCGGCAAGGGGCGGCAGGCGCTGGCCAAGCAGCTGGAGGAGCTACTGGACTGCGCGGTGGTCCACCAGATCGGGTTCACGGTCACGCTGTACCGCCAGCAGGGGCTGGCGCGGCCACAGGGCTGCAGCTGCAGCCTGAAATCGTGATTGGCAGGGCAATGCCACTTGTAACACTACAACAACAGCCACTATTGCACGGGCGGACCTACGGAAGCGCAGGCTCATGCAACAAATGTATGGGTCCGATGATTTTGCAAGTATCATAATCCTGCGCACATCATCCTGCACGTCATCCTGCAAGGCACAAAGGTGGACCACTGGCTCACACGTCAAAGTCTCGCCTCTGAAACCATCTTGAACTGCACTCTTGATCTCTTGTTCTGGTTTCTCTTGGATACTCCGCCACCGCCGTTTGCGGCCCTTTGCTTTCCCCCAGCAGCCGTTCCCGTCGAGCTGCGAGCAGGCGCCCCTGCCGCCGCCTTGCCATTCTGGGCGTCCGCCGCAATGCTGAGCCGCCCATCGCATATCGCCTGGAAGGCTGTATTGTGAGAGACACACAGTACCTGGGCGGGCATGTCGCGCGCCATTTGCACCACAAGCTCTGCCACGCGCCGCTGCGTGCAAGAGGGGGGGGGCAACCCGCGCATGAGTGCTGGCAGAACACTGCAAAGCAAAGACCTGATGCCCGCAACAAGAGCTGACCTGCAACAAAGCCACGACCAGTGCGCAACTTATCTGCTCGAGTTTGTGAGCTGAACCGCCACCTGCGGAGTCGGCCGTCCTCTCCCATCCCCCCTCCCGCCCTGCCCTGCCGGCCACCGACACCTGGTTATGCTCGTCCAGCGCAGCGTCCGCCTCGTCAAGAATGAACAGCCCGCTGCCGCAGCCCGCCGGCCCCGACGCGCGTGCCGCAGCCAACAGCAGTGCCAGCGACACCAGCGTGCGCTGGCCGCCCGACAGGGAGCCCAGGTCTGTGCGCCAGGGTTCGAGCTGCGCGGCGGCAGAGGCGGCCCTGCGAAATCTGCAACCACGTGAAGCAAAAGCAGAGCTGGGCATGAGTCTGCAGTTCATGCACCTTAGAAAATTGTGGGTGAATGGGTGCGAGAGAGAAAAAGCTTGTGTGGCAAATCTAGACTGCCGCCACCAAACCATATTTGCCTGGCGTGCACGCACCACGAGGCCCCCGTTCCCTCGCGGCCCCACCCTCGCAGCCACCATCCCTCTCACCTGATCTGCAGCCCCTCGTGCGCCTGCAGTCCCGTCCGCACCAGGTCCACCTGCAGCACGGGCAGCAGGCTGCCCGCCATCGCCCGGAACGACCCAGCCACCTCGTCCGCGGCCGCATCATTCGCCGCCGCCACACCCGCCGCGCCGCGCGCCACGTCGGCCTCCAGGGCGGCGATCTCGCCCTCAAGACGGCCCGCCAGGGCGAAGATGGAGGCTGTGCGCTCCGCACGCCCACGCGCGGCCGCGTGCTCTGCCGCCGCCGCCGTGCTCTTGGGGCCCAGGCAGTCCAGCTGCGCGCGCAGCTGGCGCAGCCGCTTGGACAGCGCGGCGACCTCGCCCTCGCCGCCGCTGCAGTCATCCGACTTGCCGTGACCAGCCGCGGCCCCGGAACTACCTGCTGTGTCTGGTACCTGCGCCGCCTCTCCCGTGCTCGGGGCCGCACCCTCCCCGTCGTCTTGGGCCCAGCGCTGCAGCTGGGCGTCCTCCATCCACCCCTGGTGCTGCCCCCACTCCTCACGCAGCTCTGCCAGCCGCCGCCCCAGCGCCTCGAGCGCCTTGCGGTCGGCGTCTGCGGCGACACGCGCCGCGTCACGCTCCCGCTCCAGTCGCCTCGCCGCCTTGAGCGCGTCCCGCGCGCGCCCATGCAGCTCCCCCACCTCCGCCCGCTTGCGCTCCTGCGCGGCCAGCGCCTCCGCGCGGAGCGCAGCGGCCTGGGCCTTCCGGCGCCGCGCGTCGGCCGCGGCCGCCTCTGCGTCCCGCAGGCGCCGTGTGAGTTCAGCAGCATCGGGCAGGGCTGCAAGGCGCATCGACGCCACCTCCAGCGCCGCGCGGGCCTCGTCCTCCTGTGTGTGCGAAGGAGCGCACATGTGCATGCAGCAGCTCAGCATGGTGGATTCAGGGTCTCGCTGGGTTTCATCAACCCTCCACAGCGCTGAGTGATATCCGTGCAGCAGCAAGCACAAACCGCATTGGCCTCACCAGACCCTGTACGCAGCCAGGGCGTGTGCCGATGCAGAGCCTCCGCAAAGTATGCACAACAAATCATTGGCAGCCCCTCACCTCTGCCTCTGCCTGCTCCAGCATCTCGACCGCGGCCGACTCCTGCTTCGCAGCATCGGCCAGCGCCGTTTTCAACCGCGCCAGCTCCGCCTTCCCGCCGTCGCTCCGACCGTCCCCCGCCGTCGCCGCGAGCAGCGCCCTGCACTGCTCCGCACTGGACGCCAGACCGGCCGCCTGGCCACGCAGCTCGGCGGCGGCTTCCTGCGCCTGGCGCACCAGCCCCCTGACCGCTCGCACCTGATCAGCCACTCCCTCCGCCGCAGCCCGCCGCTCCACCGCGCGCCCCTCGGCCGCGACACGCGCGTCCGCGACACGCTCGGCGTCCAGCGCCTGGCGCTGCAGCGCCGCGTGCTCCTGTACCGCGCGCGCCAGGGCGGCGTCCGCCTCACGGGCTGCCAACGCCGCCGCATCGCGCCTCAGGATCGCCTCCCACCGCGCGGCCGCCCAGCCGCCGCCGCCGTCCCCGTCCCAGCCGCCAGCCACCGCGCCCCTTTGGCTGACGCTGCCGTCTGGCGTTGCTGCGGCCAAGCTGAAGCGTGACGCCAGCTCGCCGGCCGCGGCGTCGTCAGCGGCGATCACCATGCCGCCCAGCGCGCGCAGCATGGCGGGCTCGTGGGCCTGGTCAAACTCGAACAGGTCAAGTGGCAGCGTCACCCGCGCCGCCCCACCCAGCGCGCGCTGCGCATCGCGCTGTGCGCGCCGACGGTCTGGCGGCGCCAGCCGGTCGAGCGGCCAGATGCGCAGCTTGCCGCCGCCGCCGCGCTGCCGATGATGCTCCAGCAGCGCGGCGGCGGCTGCCGCAGTTGGCACTACGGCGACGTCCAGAGCGGACGAGCACACAGCCGCCAGAGCGCGCAGCAGGCCCTGCACGCCCAGGTCTGCGGGGTCCTTGAATCGAAAGCAGTCTGCGAGAGCCCTGGGGGCCGCCGCGTCGCCGGCGTTGCCGCTGTTCAAGCTGGGGGATGTCGCTGTGGCCGCAGCAGCGGCTGTGCACGCGTCGGCGTGTGCAGCCGCCGCCTCGCGCTGCGCTGACAGCAGAGCGCGGTCAGCGCACTGCAGGGCCCCGGTGAGGTCTGCACTGCTGCCGCCTGGTTGCTTTTGCAGCTGCCGCTCGTGCTCTGCAACAGCTGCGGCCGCTTCTGCATCTGCCTGCTGCGCAGCGCTCTGAGCCTCCTCCTCCGCCGCCTCCAGTTGCCGCAGCAGGCCCTCGTCAGCCGCCCTCGACCGCTCGAGCTCCTGTGCGCGCGCATCAGCAAAAGTCAGCCGCTGCAGCAGCTCCTCCAGTTGCTGCTCCAGCGCTGCAGCACCGGTAGCGCCCGCCTCGGCAGCCGTCGCGGCCTGCTCCAGCTGGTGCCGGTGCTCCTCAAGGCGCGACAAAGCAGCGCGTGCTCTGCTGGATCCGTGCTGCTGCCGCAACAGCAGCCCCTCCGCTTCGCGAACGGCCCGCGCTGCAGCGTCGGCCGCGGAAATGTCGGAGCGCAGAGATGCGGCCTGGCGGTCGTGTTCTGCCCCTGCGCCCGCGATGCCGTCCTCCTCCACCCGCCCCGGACCAGCCGAGGTGCCCTCTTCAACCCCTGCCTCATCTGGCCCCGCCAGCTCGTCTTCCGCCTGCTGCGCGCGCTGTGCAGCCTGATCTGCCGCCCTCACCGCCGCGGCCGCGGCCGCCGTTAGCCCTGCGGCCCCCTCCTCCTGCTGCGAGAGCCGCGCCTCGAGCAGCCGCTGCTGCCGCGCGAGAGCTCGCTGCAGGCGCCCCAACGCCAGCCCCGCGGCCTCCCTCAGCTCTGCCGCGCGCCGCCGCTCCGCCTCGCGCGCCTCGTCTGCGGCGACGGCGGCCTGCAGGCGTCCGAGGTCTGCGCGGACGCCATCAAGGGCGCGGCGCGCGCGGCGAATCTCGTCGGCAGCGGCTTTGCTCTCCTCGCGCCATCTGTTGTTTTGCAGCGATCAGGGATGTGACAACAGACTTGAGTGGCCACCGGCATGTGCTTGCTTGCACATCAATCGGTGGCCTGTCTTGCTGGTGTAGCGGGCTCATGCCATGCAGTGGTGTGCTCTGTTCGCGCGCCCCGAGCGCCCTGCAGTGGCGGGGAAACACGGCGTGCACTCCAAGCCGCGCTCATCAGCTGGCGCTCCGACAGAGCGCCTGAGCGGGGGTGCAGTCACCTGGCCAGGCCGCTGACGGATGCAACCAGCTCCGCCAAGGCACCAGGCGCTGTGAGGCATGGCAGGGATTTGGGGTGGCAGCCCGCATTGGTTTGATGGCGGGATGGCCCCAGCAACTGTGGGGCTTGGCAACTCTGCCACGCATTCCGTAATGGTCCGGTTTTGAGCAGGTATTGTGTGAAATGCTAGCCAGCACTGTGAAAAAGGGCGTTTATGTCTTGCTTCCTGCCTCTAGTGAGTGCGCACCGTTGTTGTCTGCAAGGGCTGTGACCTGGGCCTGCCTGATGACCGTGGATTCCCCAATGGCCAGCCCCCCCTCCCTCAGGAAGCCCTGGGTGTGGCATGGGGCGTTGGCGATGCAGGTGCCTGAGGTGCTGCAAGGAAGTGTGTTTTTGTGCTGGCAGTGTGCAGAAGGACTGCCCCTCCAGCGGCATGCTTCTTTGCTCAATTATCAAAGGAGCCCTCACACACAAGCGCAGTGCTGCGTGTGAACAAGGCTCCTCCCAGTGCGCGCCCATCCAAACTCAACCCCCGCCTCGCACCCTCAGCTGAGCCGCTGTGCGTACGCGCCCGTCCACCCTGAATACGCGCGCGCCTTCCGCGCTCAGCGTTGTGGCCACCTGGTGAGCCTCGCCGCGGCCCCGCGCCAGCCGCACCACCACCTCACACAGCTGGCCCGGGGGGCGGCGTCGAGGCAGGGGGTGGTCAGCCATGAGACATGCCACGGGCGTGGTGAATCAGGATCGCGTGCCTCTTGAGCGGCACTGATCATGTGCCTGCATGCTCCATGCGCCGGTGTGCACGCGCATAGTCCATGCCGGGTGATTGCCTCATGCCCGCATGCGTCATTATGATGCAAATGCGCAAGCGCCATGGCGCCCGTGGTTCGTGACGTCCGCAAGCAACGCCACCTTTTACTGTCAAGTACAGCTGTACTTGACGGCATGCAGCGCCCAGGACGCAAGCACGAGGCGCCCTCGGCCGCACCTGGGAGTCGCGCTCTGTGGATACGACGTCGCGCAGCTGCTTCACGCGCAGCGCGGACGCAGGAGCGCCGAGCGCAAAGCACAGTGCCTCCAGCAGCGCGCTCTTGCCGCATCCGTTGGCACCCAAGATGCAGGTTACCGTGTGGGCCTTCTCGAAATGAAATATGGTGGGAGCTGCCCCGCTAAACGACTTGAATGCCCGAATGCTGATCCCCAGGACACGCCAGCGCGGCGCAGAAGGCGCCTCGCAACCGCCTGGATTCTGCTGCAATCGGCTCATGCTGGAGGCCAATTTGTACAAACACGCGAATCCACGTCTTATGTGTCATACTCCGCACCCGACGTATGATGGGACACACTTCATTCGCGCGCAGATCTGTGATCTGACTGGTTCCGTCGCGATTCGACCAACATACGATATATCGTATGTCCCAGTTGCCAACAAGATGACTGTTATCTTTCTTGTATTTTATCTTCTTGTAGCGCCCGATCAAAGCAAAGTAAGGCAGATCTACATATTTTGTGCCTATACAGCAAGGCATTGGCAATTTCATGCATGGGCTGCGGCTGCTAAGTTTGATTAGAATGGAGCCGCTGATGGGGCCGCAACATTGGTGTGCAAAGATTGGGGTCAACAAAGAGAGGGTCAGCATTGCACCAGACTTCTGGCGGGGGGGCTTGGACTGGATGGGTGACTGACATTAGAGCGTTGGCAGGGTGGTCATCGTCGGTGGCATCCTCTGTCCAGTGTCAGTGGGGGTTGGGGTCACTTATCCAAGCAGAGTATCCTTTTCCCCACATGTTGCTACGCGTTTTGTGCTGCATGTGGAGCTGTCGACCACAGCCCTCCTTGGGCACCTGTTGTTGACGGAGCGTTCCGCCACAAATCCTTGTGACTCGCCTGCAGCACACACTCAGCAGTCCATGTCATCGTCACAAGAGCTGCAACGGGGCACTTGTGGATCTGTCGGGACGTGCGCTTGCGAAACGGGAGTACTGTACCCGAAAGCGTGCCAATCAGTGATCGTCGCTGACCAGCATGCGTTCTTCTGCGGCACGAGTTACCATTCGCAGCAGAATGTCACGCAATCGTCCATGCTCTTTTTTCAAGAGGCTTTCGCATCGAGTAACGTGTGCGACGGCCGCAGCCAGACTTCGGACGAGCAGCAACTCAGCTACTCAGCTGGACGCCCAAATCGAATTCAGCGGCTCGCTCGCCGATGCAATAATCTGCTCACACATGAATATAGATGGTCGAGTATCAGGTTTTGTCCATCGCAAACTCCAAGTCACCCGGACACTGCCGTGTGTCACCACCGCGATGCGCGCAGCGTGCCTGCTGCTGCTGGTCTGTGCAGCGGCCGCGAGGCCGCTGTTGCAGCAGGAACTATCTACGGGCCGCGACCTCCTCGCAGTTGAGGGGAAAGAGACCAAGAATGCGAAGGACAGCCTCATCGCGCTCGCCTTGCTGGCGAAGAAGGCTGTCGCAGCGAGCTCGCCGTCAACGTCTTCAGCTAAATCAGGCAGCACCAGCACTGGCGCTGTAGCAGGCGTGGTGACTGCCAGCGCCACTGCCGCCGCGAGCGACCGTGCCGCTTTGGGTTACGCCACCCCCGAAGCTGCAGCTGCTGCCGCGGCAGGTCCCGCGCAGGCCACTGTGGCAGTCAGTTCCCCCGCGGAGGTTGTTGCGGCGGGTACCGGCTCATCGGGCTCTGGCAGCGGCGATGGCGGGCCCTTGGGGGCCGTGCTTGCGCTCAAGATTCACGGGAAGGGCAAGCTCGGCGCCTTTGTCGCGTCCATTGCGGGCGGGTCCCAGGTGGGGCTAAAGGGTCGTCGCCTGCACAACAACAGGGGCGCGCCATGCCTTGGATGTGTGACAGTATGTACTAGCGACGCCTACGCCGTCAGGTCTCGGGTGCCGGGGGGGGCTGCTGCCTGGTGCTGCGCGACCGACACGCTGCCTGACTGCGCCCGCGCCTTGCCGCATTGCCACCCGCCTGCAGCCATCCCCCAGCCCTGTTGAGCCCGAAGCCTCGACCAGTGCCGTGGCAGCGGGCCCGGCACCCGTCGTGGCCGCAGATGCGGGCGTTGCCGTGAACGTTGCAGCCCCTGGCGCCACTACGACTGTCGTCGTGGCCAGCCCCCCCTCCGGCTCTTTGCCCACACTGCCGTTGGTGGGGACCTCGCCGGTGCCCTCGTCTGCGCCGTCGTCGCCGTCGCCCTCGCCTGAGCCGGCCCCAGCAGATGCGGCGGTGGAAGAGGAGCCCGAGCCGGCGCCGTCAACAGAGGATGAGGCCGCTGAGCCAGCAGAGGCGCAACAGTCAACCCCCTCGCCGACCCCAAAGCTGGCGCCTTCCCCAGTGCCTGCCGCGTCACCGCCTGCGGCGCCCAAGCCGGCGCCCTTGCCCGTGGCCCCACAGGGGTCCGCCCCCATCCCGCCCGTCACGCAGCCGGCTGTCGCAGTCGTCGTGCCGCTGCCACCCGCTGTCCCAGCACCCGCCGATGCCGCGGCCAAAGGGGAGGACGCCAACGCCGCATCAGCACCCAGCCCCTTGCCCTCGCCTGCAGCCCCGGTCGCACCGGCTGCATCCCCGAAACCCTCGCCGTCACCGGCGGCCTCCCTGCCCGCGCCGTCCAGCCCGCCCAGCTTGCCACTGCCCGCCCCGGCAGCTCTGTCGCTGTCACTCTCCCCGGCTCCTAAATCATCGCCGTCCCTGGCAGCGGCAGCGCTGTCACCGGTGGCCTCCCCGTCCGCGCCGTCCAGCCCGCCCAGCTCGCCGCCACCCGCCCCTGTCGCTCCCTCGCCGTCACCCCCCCCGGCTCCTAAATCATCGCCGTCCCTGGCAGCGGCGGCGCCGGCCGCCGCTTCCTCGCCCGCGCCGACGCCTCCGGATGCAGCGGCAGCCCCCAACGGTGCTGCTTCGGATGAGGTGTGTACGGCCCCACGCGCCCCTTCATTTGGGATACTATCGCTGAGTAGGCGCCTGCTGCAGGCCTTGCTCACAGGCCACACCACCACGCATGGTTCAATCGAACCCCACTGCTACGAATTTGAGGCCCGACCACCCCTCCAAACTTGTGTTCCACGCCCACCCCCACTCCCTGGGCCCCACCAGGAGTACTACACTGACGACGAGGAGCCGGCAGCACCAGGCGGCCCCAAGCCCGCCAGCGGCCGCGCAGAGCCAACGCGTGTTGTGCCCGTCACGCTTAGCAGCTTGAGGATCGCACCGATGGGCGGCGTGGGGCCTGTGGGCAAGGTATATTACAAGTATGGCAACTGAAGGCTGCACAGCATGCACGGCTGACTTGTGGCTAGACAGCGGTGCGTTTCGTTTGCGGGCTCATGGCAGAGCAGGGGCGAGCGGAGGGGGTGAAGGCCAGGGACGGTCAGAGCTGCACGGGCTTGCTGGCCCTGCAATCTCTGGCGCTGCCCCCACTCGGCCCGCTGCCCGCAACTGCAATTGCGCATTTGTGCGCATGCGTGCGCGCGACACGCCCAAGACCAGCGCTGCCTGCGGGCGCACGCGCCTCAGTTGATCCCAATCATTTCATGAATGTGTTGCCCCTCGCCTGCAAGCGGGTGCCTCGTCGTCGCTCGCGCAAGGCCTTTGCCGATGCTTTTTTTGATGTGCAGAGGCGCCCCATTTTATGTTGAGGCTGCGCAACCATACTCATGGTGATAGCAGCAGGATGCCGATGGTGCCATGCGGTACGGCATGGCGGCTGCCCCAAGGCTTCCGAGCGTCAATGCAGTGTACAGCACGGCCCATCTTGAAGTTTTATTCAAGATCTGTTCCCTGCACCCTGTTGGGCGCCTGCACGCCAAGGTCTGTGGTGGTGACAAGGGTTGTTGGACACTCGCGTTCAAGCCTGTTTGGCCCCGGGCAAATTTGGAAGCTGCACTGAGAACCAACAGCACATGGATGCTTGCTGCCGCCTGCATTCTGGGCGAGCAAATGCACATCTAGGACACCAGCTCATATGGGCTGACATACTGCCGTCGTACACGTTGCCTGCACTTATGGCCGTGTTACAGTGCTGAAACTTCTGCTGCGTTCCTGAAAGGGTGAGTACAATCGTGACAGAGGGTCAATGACAGCAAAATGCAGCAATCCAAAGTCCTGACCTGGGGTGAACTGTCAAAAACCTAACATGAAACATAGGGTTGGACTTGCTCAAATGGAGCAAAGCGTCCAAAGGCAAGGAACACTGGGTACTTGAGAAAGGCTCACAGTACCCAATGCTGGCAGGTTGGCAAGATGTCTCGTGCTCCTGTAGCAGCACCAGCTCAGGCTAGTGCACAAGAAAGGGTGCGATAAATTGAAGTGAGGAGTGTACCCTGGTGAGTTTGAGCTGTCAACCTCACGCGCCAACATTAATAAACAGGGGGACATGTCATAACCAGGCACCCCTCAGGCGCGGCTGCACCGGTCCCGGGAACCCGTGCGCCGCGATGCCAGCAATGCTCGCGTTGCCCCTGCGCAGTGCTTAGGCAAGGCTCTTGAGCCTTCTGCCAATTGCTGTGGGGCCGTTGGGTGTGGCAAACCCTGGGTTGATGGGGTCTGGGTCGAGGGGGTCAATCTGATTGGGGTCGATGGGGCAGGCCTTGTCGCCCTTGGCCACCATTGCAAAGTACCACGAGGGGGCATACTGCGGGAGAAGTGACGGTGAGAATTTGGAGTGTGAATCAGTCGAGCTGCTGGGTGTTAGTGCGATATAGAATGCCAGTGCACGGTCGTGAACCAGCATGCGCACTGCGTCTGTTGGCCAATAACACTTCCCATTGACATGACATTAGCAAGGCTCACTTTGCAGTAGTAGTCACAGAAGTATGTGTCTGCAACACAGAGGGTAAAGTCCTAGGAGTGCAGAGGGCGCAGGTGTTGCACAAGGGGTGATGCAAGATCGAGTCCAATGTTCATGAAACGTGCATGTGTCCATACATGCCCTTGAAGCACAACAGCGGAAGCATGACTTGAAGTCTGTTTCAACAGCAGCCAGCATCATTCCATTACGTCCCTTGTTGGCTGCCACCAAACCGCTGAAGCCAATGCTAGTGCCCCACGCAAACACTGTGAACTGCTGTTGACGTCCTGTCGCAGTTTTTGCGCTGCTGCTGCTGCTGCTGCTGCTGCTGCTGCTGCTGCTGCTGTATACCCGCCACTGCTTCTGTGTGCAGCATCAGAGGATTGATGACAAACTTTCAGCTCCTAACTCTGGTGCATCAAGTCATGACTAACATCACCTCGCTTTTACGAACTCACCGTGCAGCCACAACTGGCATAGTTGAATGGGCAACCCATGAGCCCTGCATCGCACAGGCACTGGTCTTGCCCTTGCCTGCAACAACAGGGATGATTGATTGCACACGCATGAGCACGCATGCGCCATGCAAATCGTGTGCGTTGTGTGTGTTGTGAAAAACCAAAAGTGTCGTTGAAAACGCCAGACTGGATTGCGTTTGTCGTGTATAAACCCTCTAGAGACCCCTTCATCAGCGATGCTTACCTGGCGTCGGATATGCAGTTCTGGGGGCACTGCATGATGGGCTTGACAAAAATGGTGCTGCAGATTGCAGCTTGCGTGCCTCCCCATGTCTGCAAGCGAGGGCCGATGGGGCACGAGCTATTAACAAAATCAACTTGCACAATCACCCATACAGACTCAATGCAACACTCAACTCCTCCTTCTGGCTTGGCTTACCACATTGACATCCCCTCCATCTCACCTGAGGCATAGACTTTTGAAGGGCAAAATAAATGTTGCCTAGAAAGGTTGTTTTCTGCTGCTCTGCCGCCGGCTGCACTGCCTTTCCAACTGGCCCTGCACAGTCTGTGCGCGCACTGCGGGTACATGTGCAGTGGCAAACAACGCATGCAACATGCTCAGAATCATTGGCGACTTCGTGCTGTGGTCATGCATGTTCAGCTGTTTCGTGTGCATGCCGACCTCCCGTACGCAGCCCTGCTCACCAGACAGTCTGACCATTTTGCTGCTGCATGTACGTCTGTGGAGGACAGTCCACCGGGTCCGCCGGCTGCACACTGTATTGTGTACGCGGCACGCAGAAGCCTGCGTGCATGGGCTAGGATAGTCAGCCACTTTCCTCCATTACTCAAGGTACGCCTCCCACCAGGCCCCGCCCTACCTGTACGGCCCCAAGTCCCAAATCCCACCCATTATGCGTGAGTCTAAGTGCTCACCCATCTTGTAGACCTGCACTGTGGGTGTCATCACGGTCACCGGCTGCCATTGGATTGTCGGCACCGCCACCTCTAGCGGCGGCTGGCTGAAGCTGGGCTTGAACGCCCTGGACAGCAAGTTGGTCAGGCTGACGCCTGTTGCGGGGACTCCCATGCCCTGGCCCTTGTTAATGCTGATGGGTACACCTGCAAAAGCAACCTGCAGAGCGCGTCAGGCGATGCGCGCTCTTGTTCTTGCAGTGTTGGAGAGGCTGGACACCATCACACACATTCGATGCTGCCCGCGTTGGGCAGGCGATGCAGGCCCTGCACCATGCACGCATCGCTAAAACGTTATTGTTGCTCACATGATGTGTTAACAGCGCAGCCAGCGTGAGAAAGGCGACGGCCTGAGCTCCCCGCGCCATCTCGGCTGCTGTCCGTGTCTCAAGTTCTCTTGTTGTGTAGCTATGATGAACGCGTGATTAAAAAAATCTGAGATTTATTCATGAGTTTGGCGTCCTACAAGCAAAATTGAGGGCGGAGGGCGACCGCTGGCGGGAGGTTTCGAAGGACAGAACGAGTGAACGACGGCACGGCTGCACCGAGCGTAGATGCTAATATGTGGGCCTCGTGAACGGCTTAATACTAAAGATTTTAAGCTTTGAGTCTTGACATGTGTGGGTGTGCGTGCCATGCGTGTGCGCCCCACCGGGTGACAGTATGGTAGTCCCCCTATATACATACTACTACAATGCTTTAGAGACTTAGGGTGCGCGTGACGTCGGGAATGTATGTAAGGTAGTGCACTCATTGCTCCTTGATAGTCGCGTCATTTATGCACAGGCAAGGCGCAGGGCCAGGCGCACCATTAACAAGGTGTGCTGAAACTCACAACATACTTTTTGCCATCCATGCAGGCTGCAAGCGTCGGAACGGGAAGAGCATCATGCATAAGTTGCATGCTCAAGGCCTCGCTTTGCACTGCTGCACAGGCTGACGTTTAGACATGCCTACTGTCAGCTCCCAAACCTTATGTTGATGCAATTTCACTATTTGTCGGATTCGGCAGGTCACAGGCAATGTCCGTATCAGACACGTGAACACACCAGGTCACAACCGTCTTGTGCATAATGCTTTTTGCGCACGCAGCCCTCATGATGAGGGCTGCATGCGCAAACAGCCCAGCGCCAGATAGATAGATAAGTTACTCAGCGCCAGCTAGGATGCTAGCTGGATTATGTGTTGTGCAGGCCGAAATCACTGTATAAGGAGGCTTTTGCTTTGAGTTTAATTCCATTCAAATTGACAATCAGTGTCACAGGGACTGTGTGCACCCACGCCCGCCAAAGCGCACAATGAGATGTGCAAGCAAACGCACCGGTACATGCCATAGCTTCATCATAATATGTTCAAAAGCAACATCGCAGGCTATGGGAATGACGGGAGGTTGCACTTGACGTTTGGCCTCACCAAGACCCAGTTTCACACGGCCGTGTGCAGGCAGCACTGGCAAGGCAGGCCAATGGTGATTGCGTGATGGTTGCTTATTTTGGGTCCACACGCACCCGACCCACAATGACGAGCGAACTGTCGACATCTCCGGCGCAACTCCATTGTGCCGCAGCGTCCCCACGGGGGGGGGCATGTCCAAGCGTGAGCGCCTGTCCAGCGCAACTGCCTGCGTGCTTTGCACCCTGTGGTCCGTCAAAACCATGCTACTAGGGGGTTACGGCATGGCCACTGCCACTCTCAAAAAATGCTGACAACAACACTGCAGTCAGGGCTTCAACCCAGCCTGCCTGCCTTGCCGCCCACGCGGTCCAGGAGCAAGTCTGCCGTGTGACATGTGAAAGGCTGCGGCATGATACAGGGTCGTTAGCAACAGTCCATAATCTTTGGGCGTGCTCGGCAGCACCAGCAGCTGTATGGCAACGAGGCGTGCAGCACTGCAGACCAGCATGTAAGGCCCGTGCAGGTAGTGTTCACAAAAGGCAAAGAGGACGACCCGCTAGCTGGGCCGATCAGTCGTCACTGTGCCTGTGCATGTGCATACACATGCATGCCACCACCACCCTATGCAGGGGGGCAGCAGCACAGAATCGTCGGGCGACCGGCTAATATGTGTGTTCACATGCACATGCACACGCACACGCACACGCACATGCAATCATCCATTAACAAGCCCTAACAACACAGACATGACACGAGGAACTGTCTGCGACCCGCAAGACCAAGGCTGGTCTGTCAGTCTAGTTGACCGACAAGCTCCTATGGCGACGAGCGCCTTGGCATGCGACAGGCATGCAAGGAGTGACAGGAACGAAATAACGGCATAGGACAGGTAGTACTGCGATTTTTACCACGGTCCGCCCAGGGAGCTTCAGGGGTGGCGAGGGAAAGGTGAGCTTCTCGCTTGCTACGCGTGCTGCGAGCAATCTCTCCAATTTCAGCCTCATATTGACGGCGCGGATCAAAGCTGCTTGTCAGTCGTCCCAGACAGTCGCTTGGATAACCCACGCAGCAATAGTGTGAGAGGCGACATTTTGGGCCCGGTGGGCTGACTGCGCCTTTTGCCTCGCCCCTGCCCACGGACTCGCTACTGAGAGGCTGTTGGTCGGTTCTGTGCGGCTCCAACAGCCGTTCGTCTTGTCGCGCCGCTTGTGCCCATCGGGGGGCGCCCATCGCCGTCCCGAGCTCGACGGCGCATCACCCCAGGCAGCCCGCCCCTACGTCGCTCTACAGCCGCAGCTTGCGCTGGCGATCGACCCCCAGTCTGCTCCGGCGCAAACGCCGGTGCATCGCGGCCCCATGATGGACCGGCAGGCGGCGGCGGGGGCCATGGCGGCGTGCCCCACCAAGGCGTCGGCACCAATGTCGCTCGCCGACCTGGCGGGGCCGGCCTGCGGGGGCCGCACCACGCGCCTGGACAAGTGAGCAGCGCGCGGCACGCCCGGGTGGGCGGGGAGGGACAGGGGGTCATGCAGCGGGGAGTCGGGGCGCCGCCAGAGCTGACAGGCGGGGCATGACGTGCGGCCTTGCCCTGGGCCCAAAGCAGGCGGGGGCCCCGCACACGCCGCCGCGGCGGCGGCGCCGCGCCGCCGCCGCCGTTACGCCGTTTCCGAGTTCTGCTGCCGTTTCATGGCTTGCAGGAGCAAAGCTGTGGATGACGAGTTCTGGCTCTACCACTTCAAGGTGGGGAGCGGGACAGGGCGGCGGCCAGCAAGGCCGCAGGGGTTGGGCCGCGCAGCCCACGACAGCAACGCGGCTGCCCAAACGCGTGCGCGGCAAGCTGGAGCGGCGCCTGGGCGGGGCGTACCGCAGCGCGGCGTGCGGCAGCGGTGCGCAGGAGCGGTGCGCTAACTAGACGCCGTTCCACCCGTTCCGGCCACAGATCGACCTTTGCCCCCGGCGCGACCCCCACGACTGGGAGCAGTGCCTGTGAGCGGGCTGCGGACGGCGAAGGGTGCATTCACAGGACGTAGAGGGTTTGCAACCAACGGGGACAGCACGCGCTCTGGTGACGCGAGCCGCTACTGGCCGCCCGCTGGCGCTGGGGCTGGCGCATCAGAAGCGCGCCCACACCCCTTTGGGCTCACCCCTCCTCGCGCCGCGCACCGGTCCGCAGGTATGCTCACCGCGGGGAGAAGGCGCGGCGGCGGCACCCCTCAAAGTACGACCCGGTTCAGTGCCCAGAGGCGCGCGCGGTGAGCCCAGGCCAGGGAGGGCGCTACGAGGCGGCCCGCGGCCTTGCCTGTGCGTGGCGATTATGCGGGGATCTGCTCGCTGCAGCGCGGGCGGCGCGCCCTCTGGACTGCCTGGGGCGCGGCGCCGCGTAGCTGCTTCCCCCTGCGTGCCCCTGGTGACCCACGCCCCTCTCGCCCCTCCATCCTGCCAGAAACTGCTGTGCCCCCGAGGGGACGAGTGCCCCTGCACGCACTCGCTCTTCGAATTCTGGCTGCACCCCGACAGGTGGGGGTTGCACTGCCCGCCCACTGGGGGTGAATTGCGGGCACCGGGGGAGTGGAGCCGGCGTGCGGATGACGCGCGGTTCGCCCTGCACTTGTTGGAACGGATTGCACGACCCACCAAAGCACCTGCCACATGGCTAACTTCAGTGATGGGCACATCGCTCGCCGCAACAACGCAACGGGCGGGCGGCCAGGCGCCCCCTGCCCATCTTCCCTGGCCTCTTACCCCTGCCTCCCTGCTCCTTGTTTGGCAGCCGATCCTGGGACAACAACAGCCCGCGGGTACGGCCTATGTATGCTTTCACCAGCGTCCGTGCCTTCGGCTGACTCCCTCCCCTGCCCGCGTCGCCTCGCCCCCGCCCCGCCCTTTGCCCCCACCACCACAGGTTCCGCACCTGCATCTGTGAGCAGGGCCCCAACTGCAACCGCGCCATCTGCTTCTTTGCACACGCCGACGAGGAGCGCCGCCCCCTGCCAGAGGGCTCGTCAGACCCCAGCACCCTGCCCGGCGGAGGCCGCCCCAGCCGCGGCGCCGCCCACCACAACGGCGGCGGGCGGCGCGGGCGGCCCGGGGCGACGGCCATGGTGATCCCGGCCATCGATCCGGCATCGGGCGTGATGTTCTCGCCCAACCAGGGGATGCAGTTTGCTCCGATGGGCCTGGGCGGCCACCACGGGATGGTGCAGCACGCAGGCATGGGCATGCACGCCCAGGTGGCGGCGCTGCAGTGGTCGGCGCCCCTGGGGGTGAGCGCGCCGATGCAGCCGCTGATGCAGGCGGGCCACATGCCGCAGCAGCAGCACCACCACCACCAACAGCACCACCACGCAGTCGGCAACGGCATGGCGCCCGTGGGCACCAGCAACGGCATGGGGCTCGGGCCCATCAACGGCATCGCCGGCGTCGGCGCGGGCATCGGAGCGGCCGGCGGGGGGAGTGTGGCCGTGCTGAGCTCGTCCCCCGCGCAGAGCGGCGCCAGCAACCTGTCGTACGCCAGCGTCAATGCGTTGCGCTCGGCCACGCCCAGCCCGCCGCTGCAGCTGGCCCACCAGGGCAACGGCGCCGTCGTGTGGCATGACAGCCAGCTGGTGGGGCAGGCGGGCCATGCGGCGGCCGCGGCGCTGTCGGTGCAGGGCAGCGGGGCGCTGCCGCAGCCGGGGGAGGAGGCTGACGCGATCCTGTCGTTCAGCCTGTGGGACGGGGACGGCGTGGCGCTCCCGGGCGCGGCGGCGGCCGCCGCGGCGGTTCAGGCGCAGCACCTGGAGCAGCTGCAGCAACAACAGCAGCAGCAGCAGCAGCTGATTGAGCAGCAGCAGCAACACCAACAGGCGGCCGCAGCGGCCGTCGCCGCTGCGGTTGCACAGCAGCAGCAGCCACTGGAGCAGCAGCAGCAGCAGCAGCAGCCGCCGCCGCAGCAGCAGCAACAAGCATGCAGTAGGAGCGGCAGCATGTTTGCGGGGTTTGAGTCTTGGAGCCCCGCACCCTCCCCCCCTCCCACCTCTCCCCACAGCCGTAGCGGAGCTGCGGCTGCCGCCCTGGCCGCAGCGACGGGGTCGCCCATGGCGAAGGCCGGGTCGCGCCGCGCCGGCGTCACGAGCGCGGTGGCCGCGACGGGCGGCCTGCTGCCTGCGCCGGGCTCGACGGCCGGCGCCACCTCTGCCAGCGCCTCCTCGTCTGCGGCCAGCAGCGCCTCAGCGGGGGGCCCGCTCCACGGCATTATGCTCGGCCTGCAGAGCGGACCCGCGCTGGGCGCCGGCACAACAGCACCCCGCAGCGGCCCCGGCTCGCCCCACGGGAAAGCGGGCGGCGACGCGGTCGCGGCCGCGGCCGCGTGCCCGCAAGGGATGCCGGCCGCCGCCGCGGCGCTGCTCCAGCAGGCGGACGCGCGCGGCGCGGGCGGGGGCGGCGGGGGCGGCTCTGTGGACGCGCTGGCTCAGGACCTGTCCACCCTGCTGTCTGTGGGGGGCCTGCGCGCCCTGTCTGCGCGGCTGTCAGCCATGGCAGACAGCGCGGAGCAGGGAGGGCCGGCGTCGGGGGCCCAGGGCCGCGCGGCATCCGACGGCTCCGCGGCGCCGCCCTCGCCGCACGCGGCCGGCGTCGCGCGCTGCGAGCACCTCGTGCACGTGTGAGCGAGCCGCCGCTGCACGCGTGCGGAGGCCGCTTCCGAAGGCTGCGCGCTGTGGCCGTGTGCTGCGGCGGCTTTCAAGGGCCCACCGCTCGTGCCGGGAGGGTGCGGCGCCCGACGCTCCGTTTGCGCTTGTACCGCGTTTCTTTTGCGTGGTGGTGCGCAGCGTGGATACTTTTCAACGGCGGATGCGTCTCACTTGTGCCGGCAACACAGGGTGCCTTTCTCATGCCCAGAACTGCTTGAACGCCGTGCAGTGATGTCGCGGACGCCATTGCACTTGATGGATGGATGCGCGCCCGATGTCAAGGGCATGAAATTCGTTGCCATGATGCAAACAAAATCGCTCGCCTCCTTGCCACTCTGATCTCGCGCCTGGTGCCGTGACAACGGATTGACGGCGATCGTGCACTTTGCGAAACGCCCGGTCCCGAAGCTCATCAGGCTTCTTCTCTTGCTGCACCCGCGGGCCACACCTGCACTGTTTGGGATCACGCCTCGCGGTCACTGCTGGGGCGGGGGGGGGGGAGTGCGCCCTGCTGCCCGTCGGCCACGCGCCCGTGTGGCTGTGTCGCAGGCACAACGCACTGGGTTAGGCAGGACGAGGTAGCTGCTTGCGGATCAAGAGAGGCGTGTTCACCTTGCGACGCGGCTGCTTAGTCACCACCGGCTGTGTTGTACGCTTCGATTGTGCTCCCAGGCGCTGCCCGGCAACGCTCGACCTCTGGTGTGGGGCCGCCGGCGCAAGCGGCACGTGGGCCGGGCCCGGCTACGGGCCGGCACAGCTCGCTGCTTCACCACCTTGCCCACGAGGGTGCTCTGCCGGCCGCGTGGGGCAGGTTTGTGCACCAGAGCTCTCGCAGTAGGGCGTTTGGTCCGCACTGTCTGTTCCGCCATCATCCCGCAGCAGCGGGCCGGTTCGCACTTGCACGCCGTCGAACTGCCACTCGGGAGGGCACCGGGACTCTCCACCCCCGCCGGCCCATGGTTGATGGTTCGGGGCCCACCAGATGACAGCGCATTACTGGCAGTGAGTTGGGGCGGGCCCCGGGACGCACGCCCTCGGTAGCCAGGCGTCCGCCGAAATGCCCGGGCTCTCAAGACACGGGCGGAGCACGATTGCGCTCCGCCAACACTGCAACCCCCGCCCGCTGTCGACTTGTTTTGGGGGAGTCTTATGCGTACACAAAGATTGACGAGGAGGCACACCCTTTCATGGGGTTGTAGGCCAGGCTCACAAACCTCAAGCCATTTGGGCTTGCCCCGCCGCTGGGTGTGCCCCTGGGTGTGCCCTTGGCTAGGCGGCAGGTTCCATCTGTGTTGCCCGCCCACATTGACCCTTGTGTCCATCTGCCCTCTTGCTGCACCTGTTGTGATAATTCGACATCGTACCGGTGCACGTGAGAGCGCAGTCCCAACAAGTGCAGCACCTGGCCTCAGAATCGTAGCAAGCGACAACGCCACTGCAGCAACCCGGCAGTTGGCAATGAGGTGCAGCGCGCAAAGCTTGGGAAGGATTTGGGGAGGCACTTAAGGGGTTCAGAGGGCGGCCACACACGAAGGTTTGAATCATTGGCGTGTGAGCATGATCAGCTGACAGAGGGTGCAAGGCAGCACAGATAGAGTCGGGGAGGGCAAGGTGTTTGTGGCGCGGGTGTAAGCCCCGTACAAGCTCGCAAGTGCGTGCGCTGAGTTTGATTTGACCGACGCCTTAAGTCTGTCTGTGTTGCCTCTTTTGCTCGTTTGCAAGCGGCTGGGTGTGCACTCCCAACGAAGGGATCTGGGTCCGCATGGTAGCTGGTCAAGCGGCAGCCAAGCGTGCGTTGCAACCCAGATGTTGCATGTACCTCTCCTGAATATCCTCTGAAGGCTACTATGCCTCCTACATACCCTGGCTTGCTACGTTCATGTCAATCAAACACTCGCACAGACTGTGCACTCTGTGCAACCATGTGCTTGTTTTGTGAGTCGCCTGGGGGGCCCGCCAAAGCATGTTGACAGCTTGAGCAGAGTAAGAACGAGCATCGTGAACAGAGCACAATGCCATGGTCGGCATGGCGCAGCATGTAGATCACAGCAGATACCAATACATAAAATCAGCTGACGCAGCGTCCCGCGTGAAGAGCTCTTCGGTTGCTCCAGGTCACTGCCGTTGTCACTGCAGTGAGACAGACTCAGGCTTCTGACTGCCAGCTGCCTTCCAACTGCAAGAGCCAGCATTGACGCCCGCTACTGAAGCACAACATTTATTTAATCACGTTGTAGGCACGATAGCGTGTGGCCCTGGCTATTTCGGGCACCATTTTGGTTGCAACGATCTCAGCCTGGGTGACAAACAGTGATTGCGGGCAGGAAAGAAGATAATATCGCGTAGGTCGTGCAAAGGGGGGAGCTTTCACACCTGCAGACAGCACCTGAGCCCTGCCTGGCGCTTATTGCGCGCCCACGGCAGACAGGATGCAGTGCAGCAAGCTGGGGCGCGTGCTGCTGCTCGCCGTGCTCGCCAGCTGCTGTAATCTGCACACAGCTGCGCACGAGCATGATTCATTAGGTGCGTTAAGGTGGAGGCTTCGTCACTAGAGCTCGAGGGGGGACGGCGCGCCCCTCCTCCTTCCCGCGCTGGGGTTGGGTGGGGCAAGGGTCATGGCTTCCATGGGTATCCGAGAGCAGCACCATTCAGCTGCGCGCTTGGCTTACATGTACTTCACAGCAGCGCCGTGCATCATTACGTCCATGTTCTGCTTATGTCATTTTGCTGCACCAAAGGCAACAACGATAAGCAACGCTCCTCGCCCCCACCCTGCCACCGCTGCCCGATGACTGACATGGGCTCCCCCTCCCCCCAAACCGCCCCGGCCCCAGCCTGCAGCCACCACCACCCCGATGTCGTAGCCCAGAACGCCCTCCTCCTGGCCCACCGCCTGGCACTGATCGAGGCGCTGGAGGGCCCCGCTGCGTCCGCGCACGCCGCACAGGCGGCGGGTCTGCCCTTTCGGGCGCAGGCAGCGTCACCAAATGAGCGCGACGGCGGCGGCGGCCGGGACGCAAGCGCGGCTGCGGCGCAGGAAGAGGGGCTGGATCAGCTGGTGGCGCGCGCCAAGGCGGCGAGGCTCGCCCAGCTGCTGCACCAGGGCAGCCAGCGCGGCGGCGCCCCGGCAGCTCAGGCCGGCGCCGCCAGCCGGCGGCTGGCCGCTGCGCCGGCGGCGGCTGCGGCGCCGATCCGCATCCGGCCCGTGTTCCAGCTCGACGGCGTCCCCCCAAAGCCTGCCGCGCGGATAACGAACGAGATCATCCCCACCGCCATCGCGGCCATCCGCAAGTTTGTGCGCGTCAAGGCGAAGGGCGCGGCGCCGCAGGAGGCGCCGCGGCCGTTTGACGGGCGGCAGAGCTGCCTGGCGTCGATCCCGGGCGCAGCCCCAGACCCGGCCAAGGGTGAGCCCCGCTTACTGGTGCCTGCGAGCGCCGAATCTTGGGTGCAGCCGCAGAGGGCTCGCACCCTGTGCGCACGACTGGCTAGGCAGCCAAACGACTCCCTGGCTGCCTTGGCAGCTGCAGGGTCAGCACAAAGTCTCGCGGCGCCTGAACCGCCTCTTTGCCCCTTCGTCTTCCGCACCTCGCGCTCATGCACTGCCCCACGCCATTCAATTCCAAGCCCGTCCTCAGTTGAACCTGCCTTGCCTGCCCCCCCCCCCCCCCCCCCCCC